TTTCTCGAACATTTCCACTGCTTTTTGTGATTGGCCTATTAAGGGAATTACTATAATACAGAGTTTACAAAAACAATTTCAATGTACAGTAGTAGTAGCATATAGCATGACATCATATGAAATGGCAATTAAAAATTGGCCAAATGATATATTCTGTTTATATTGTTTTATGTAATCTACTAGTGAATGAGATACATTTCTGCTTCACAAAGCAATACAGCAAGCAGCAAAAAAGACCTTGATAAAATGTTTAACGTCGTATCTTCTTCCAATAATAACTAGTGGGTAAATGTGCACACATTTCTTTGTTCTGTTGCAATTGGGAGGGTCCTGTGTCTTTAACTAAGCAGATTTGGGACCCTAGCTGGGGTTATCAGTGCGTATGATATCCTCATGGATTTGTGATAACAAATCTCCATGTGGCCTCCATCCTGTATTGTTCTGACTGCATACACAAGTATGTCCAAAGCAAGCAATAGGAAACCATGACAAGGCATTCATTAAATTTGTTCATCCATTTAAAACATCAGGCGTGTATACAAAATATATACACTATCCAGACAACCTAATACATCCTTGGTCCTGTGGGTGCCATCTTTTTAATATTACCTTAAACACTGACTGGTGGGTATTTTGTTTCTTTAGTGGACATATGCCTAAGCTTAAACATTAATGATGTACCCTGCTGCATAAATGTCCAAATTAGCATCCTGGGCAGCTGCGTTTCAGCAACTCAATCTTTAGGGAGATCATCAGAGGATCACCAATCTGGTTATCCTGTGATAATTTTTATTTACACTAATACATACATTTCACAGCTGCGAAAGCTATATGAGCAGCTGTCTTCATTTGCCTTTCCTTGGAATAATCTGTTCCTTAGGCACCTGGGACTTGGGCTGCCCAGTGCCTAAGGCTGCACCCCTGCACACAGTTCAGCTGCTCTTAAATCCCACTGAAGTCAACAGGATTTAAGCAGCTCTGCATGCAACATTATAGCTTAAGGCTGCAATCTTCAAACAGATTACCTTTCATGAGGGTTGTGCTGTGGCAGCAGTTTTAAAGATCAGTTTATATATTCGGGGAGGGGGCAATAATGAGAAATCCAACAGTGATAGTAACTATTCTGTCCTTCAGAACACTTCCCACTAAAATTCTCAGATCTTCTTCTCCTTGAAAATTACAGGAAAAAGCTGGGCTCTCAAGTAAACCTCTTCAGAAATTAAAGTTTCAAGGAACCACCAAGTGCCAGAAACTGTGATAGATATCACACAGAGAGAGCTTGGAAACATTAACTTTCCAGCCTGCAACTGCTAGAACCCTGCAGTCATCGTGGTCATTGGGGAACTGTTGAGTGGTACTGCCCAAAAGGTAAATTTTTGCAAGCAGTGCCAAGGACTACCCACTGCAGATTAATAAGATGCTGTGTGGTTTCATTCTAGGCCCCCTGATTAAGGCATACGCAGCAGAATGAAGACAGTAGAGATCAGAGGTGGTAGAGTGGACTGTAACAATTCACACAGTAGATGCAGGATAAAATTCTTAAAGATGCAAATAACAGCTATATGATTTGTCACTAGAAGTATAGTTCTAAATCAGCTAATGGTTTTATTGGATGTCTAAGAGGTTACAAAGAAAGCACCAGTAAGTTTTCAAACTCTTCACAATTCTTCATCAGGCTGCCTAAGCCATGACCTCTAAAAACTCCCTTATGTGAGTTCCACGCTCTGGTATAAGACCTATAATCCTAACCACAATCCTACGTACAAACAACTATACATTTTTATATACAGCCCTGGTCAGCAACTAGCTTTTTTGGAAGAGCCTGTTGAAGAGGCAAAGGAAGGCTGCTGCCCAAGGACTCAACCCCTGAAGAAGATTTGCCATCACATTCTGCTGCTAGAAATGTCACTTGCTCCATGTGTCACTTGTCTTTAGGCTAGCAGATGAAAGGAATACTGGCATCCCACGGCTTCGGCTACAACTACTTACTTCGTTATTATCATCATATGGATCTGGTCTCCAGCTATTTGGTTCCCCAAAGTTATCTGGTGGATTCAGCTTCTGTATAGTAAGTGATATACATTATACTCTGGGAGACTACAACTCCCATAATGCTCTAGCCAGGATGGCCATGAGCATGTTCAGCAGAGGGCTGGAGCCTTACGTTTTTAATCTCTACCTCAGCAATTACATGCCACGTATCTCACTGCCACTATATTGTGCCCTCCAGCCTTGTTTCCAAATGCTGCTGGATGAGGTAAGAGGGAGGCCATGAAGATGTGATGAATCATAGCAGAAACAAGTAGTTCTTTCAAACCTTAGACAGTTCTGTTGGTATCAACCTGATACATTTGAACACATCAAGACCGCATAGTCTTCATTTTAACTACGGTTATTTGAGTTCTAGAATTTGTCCAAGGTAACAGACTTTATAGTCATCTCACTAAACTGATAATTTAGTATCTACGTTTCTTGGACAATCACAGCTTGCACAAATACCATAAAAACTCCAGTTTAGATAAGTCACTGAAGCAGTGATATGGTAAGAAAGCTGTGTCACCATATCCCTTAAAAATAACTTCCACTGAGATAAACAGGATTTGGTACATAAGTTTTATTTTTATTTTCAATGACAAAATCCCCATAATTCAACATATCCTCAGATCTCTTTACAATTGGTAACTACTCCATGGAAATAACAATGCATTCACTACAGTTTATTACTATGCATATGATAAAAATTCAAAGCTGAAATTACACAGAGGACTTCAATAACTAATGCTCAAACCTAGTACAGTATGTTATATCCTGTATCTACCATGAGTGGGAGGGGGAGAAAAGGGGGGGCTGCAAACTGACCTGCAACTTGTAAAAAAATATAAACTGAGTGTTAACATATTTTTTAAAAATCACACTTTTTGTGCAAATATTTTTCTAAATACTATTTAATTATTCAAGGATGTTCAATGTATAAAAACAAGTCTGTATGCATTTTAAAGTAAAGCAGTTAAACATTAAATGAGCCCTTTTCTTAGAAGAGACAAATATGAATGAATCCCTGTGTGTTCAAGTCAGTTAATTCAAGATGAAGCAAAAAAAAAAATTAATCCCCATTATTGATTTAATCATGAGTAGTATAACTTATTACATCTGTTCCTTAGCCAATGCCCAACAGTACAACTCGTGAAGCTCCCTCCTGTAAAGCAGGGGAACCCGTGGGCCCCCAGAGGGAAAAACAAGACCCACATTAGCTGGGTTTGATAGGAGTCCACCAACATATGGAGGGCTACAAGACTGCCCACTCCTGTTAGAAAGGCTTACTCTGATGTAGGCCTCACTAACTTCAATACAATTTACTCGAAAAATATGGTAACTAAATGGAACAAATTGTATATGGAGTTTTACAAAATGTGCAATACTGCTTTATCCTCACAACAGTTATTGTTCGATTAGTCCTGGTTAGCTCAATTCCTAATTGGCTATTCCAAATTAAGAGCAAGATCTAGCTAGTTAATTTGGTTTTGAGTCCCATTTACTCAGCACGCTCCTACATATGTTCACCCAGGAATACATCCAACTAAATCTACTGGGCCTTCCTCTTGAAGAAGTGAGGTTAAAGTTGCATATTACATGGTTTAAGGTTTCAATATTGGCCTCATTTGTCTGGAGCTAAATTGCATTGAAATCAAAGGGCCTCACATCTAAGTAAAATGCTTCGGATTTAGCTGGAGATAGCCCTGCTGAACATTTTGAAGCTTACATCTAAGTAATCATGCATTAAATTGAGTTGCGTGACAGAAATAATAACAATAGCTGTTTCTTAACTAAACATTAATGACAGAACGAGAAATGTTGAATGAAGGTCCCATTTAGTCTGCAAACTGAGTTTTGAACCGTTTATAGATGAAGATCAGTCATTTTATACCAAGGTGAAAAAAATACTTCAAAAATATATTAATTTTCCAGTGGGAATTGGCTACTATTTTAATAAAGAATCAATTGTCCTTGAACATTAATATGTAAGAAAAGGGGTAGCTCTACAAAGATGTCCCCCCAGCAAATTGCTTTGAAAGAACGTTCATCTTAATGTACAAATGCAAGGGAAAAAAATCAGTTCTGTGGGGAGAAAATTAAGTGCCAGAAGCACCAAATAACCTTGAGTTGTTGGGAAAAGATTAGATGTGCTTTGTTTGTATAAATGTCTGACTGTCTTTTTTATTATTATTTGTCAGCGTTAGTAACATTATGATAGCAGGCCACAAAAAAAAGGTCTTAAATGTGGATGGTAATGGAAGGCTTAGATGCCCTTAAGTCTATAGTTCTAGAACAATGACAGCTCAAACTGGAAATGATGTCAGTCCTCTTATAGATGGCTGCGTGGCAGTTCCCAAATATTTTGCAGCCTTCCTTTTTCCTTGCATTTTATGTGAAGTTTGCAACATCGAGCTGTAGGCTACCAAAACACATCCAATAATCAGGGATTATTTACACAAGTAAAAGCTAAGTTAAGTACACATCTGATGCCAGTACATTTGCTTTTATACTACCTTAATTAATAGTTTTGTCTACTTAACTACTGTACCATGTAAAATTAAGTGAAAGCCTGTAGTGAGTTGCAATTAGACTAAATCTGTTGAATCAGTGGGGATTTGGTGAGTCAACTCTTCCATAAATTCTATTCATTCAATGGGCCTACTCTAGATGTGACTTCCTACTAGATTTCAGCCAAAGAAAAGAAGCATTAACACCTTAATTGACAAGAAAGCAATGTTAGATACTAGGATAATAGGGAAGATATTAGATGCTAACATAAATATTAGGACATTAGGTATAAGGATAAGTAGCCATTTAAGTGAATTAGATTATTCAAATCATAAGGTTCCATGCAAAACTTTTTTTTAAATGAGGGTTGAGTGCTCTTAAAGAATAATAGTCTCAGTTATTTGTATTGTGGTAAGAAAACTTGTTCTGACCTTGAGATTGCGTGCTAAATAAATTACCTCGGAACGAAAGTGATGGGTTCTCATGACAGCATCTAGAAAGGAAAGGGGAAGGAAAAAGACAGGACTGTTTCTGTCTCCATTTCAAAGTCAAGTCATTTAAGTTTGAGAGAACAGTTGGAACGGTGTTTCCTCCGACCCTCCCGGGGGTGTGTGTTTAAAACCATCATCACCCATATAGCCCCCTCTGAAGGCGATCCCTGCCACCGAATACGTATCTTTAATTCCCCACGTAGAAGTTGATGGGAAAGTTCTGCTGTAGTTGAA